TTGTGGGTAATTTAAATTAGTCTTTAGGGGTCTTTTTTAAATGACTATTGTATACTTTTACATTGCAGTTAAACTGTGGGCAAATTTGATATTTTCATTATTTCACGTTTAGATTTAAACTGCTTCAGGTTTTTGCTAAGTTTGCTTTATAACTTGAGGCCTCCTTCAATTAAAATATTTTGGACCTCAGAGAACATTAAATGTGGCAGTTTATTGTAACTCTTATTAATCCAGATGATTTAACAAGTTTTCAGAGACAACTCCATCATCTACAATACACAGTACTGAATTGTATTAGGTACACAGAGTAGGGCCTGATTTTTCAGAGGTGATGAGCACCCACAGCTCCTGTTGACCTTCATGGTAGCTGGAGTGGAGATCTGTGGGTGCTCCATGTTGCCATGATCCTACCGGTATGACCTACTTCTGCCCTGCCTTGCATTCTTTAACGTCCACTGAAGTCTGTTGGACATAGGTGTGTTACAGAACATAGGACACGTCATTAAGCATATTTACAGAGTAGCTTTTACTTGAAGGTAGGAAGCAGCTGCAGTGTATAGTTTCAGCCCTCTTTGCAAGAATATTTTGCATATTGATTTGTTTTCCATGTATACCTGAAAGCATAAATGGTGTTTATGTCTTCATTACGGGTGTAGACTCTTTTGAACATATACTAGCCATATGAAGTACTGAACTGCATGTTGTTGTAAAAGCTAATGAGAGAGAAAAATAATAATAAAAAAATAAGGAATGGCATTTTTATACTATTAAAATATATTTTAAGGTTACAGTTAGTTAGACCACCACCAAGAAGTCACACCGTTTGGGAGGGACTTTCAGTATTATTGTTATACTATTAATGTGGGGTGGCAAAGTCTTTAAATATTTTTGGTAAAGTAGTTAATACAGCATGGAAGTTTGATATTTGTACAGTTTGTAAAAGAATTTGAGGTGTTACCCTATTTTGACTTGAGTTTTCAAGTATGTACTGGTGCATCATTAATCATAGGAAATGCAAAAATAAATAATATAGTCCCTTTGGATTTTTCATGTGAATACTTACCTTTTCCTTTTTTTGTATATACAGTTGAGGTATTTAGGTAACCCCTAACCTTCTGCTTCAACAAGGAGGTACAGTATAAAAATATTACCACAGTCTTCATATGAGCAGTTCTCTCTAAGAAAACCTCTAGATGAATATTTATTGAAAAAAGCAAAGTTGCAATACAGAATGACTTAGCTCGGCCTCAGTACTATATTTTAGACCACCAGTGTATAAAATTAAAAGCACATGGATTTTTGAATCACTAGAAAAGGTTTGTAATTGATTAGCACTCTATGAAAGTATTGAAGTGGAGTAAAGTTTGATTTGTGAATGGTTCTATTCAATAAAGATTAATCCTGTATGCTAGATTTTATCATTAGTGCCTCTAATGAGTTTGGCTGGGTTTTTTTCTCCCTAGTTTATTTAACCATCAGATAATTCAGTGTTCTGTTAACAAACTGGAACATTTGTATCTTAGCAAATTATACATCAGCATGGCTGATTGAACAATCCAGACTATCAGTGGTTAGTTCAAAGGAGGTAATTAAATGAATACATACATTTTATTCCTTACAAGCCATTTACAAATATAGTGTAGTCATGTATATTTCATGTGTTTCACATGCTTATTAACTGTAGTGTCGGGAATCCATTTTTCTTAATTTGAATGAGAATAGTAATCTATTCTTGGTGTTCCATGTTATACTTTATATTCTGAGCACTTTGCATTATGTTTTAATATAAAAAGTGTTGATTAAAATTGATTTAGTTCATATGTTTATGATTGTGAAAGCTAGAGGCTGAATTTATAGATGCTTTCTTCTTTTAGTCCACAAAAATATATACCATCCTGATTTCTGAATTTCTTCTTATGAATCCTTTTCTACATTGTGTACTTTTATATTAATGTAAAATTAAATTGGTTACAAAGTGATAGAGTAGCTCATAAATAGTTGAAAGGTTTTTTTTTTTAAATAGTATACATGTCATTGTGTAGTATCATGATATCAGGCTTATAACAAAAACTTCTAAGTGGTACAACTTTAATTTCCACGTATTACATCTGTTTATCCGGATCAATTACAAAAAAGTTAGCGTATTGGCCAAATTCTTGTCTTATTTAAATTCTGGGCAACTTCATTGAAGCCAGTGAGGATGCACAGAACATACATACAGAGGATGCATCAGTGCAGAATGTGGTTCCTGTTATGTATAACTGATATGGTATGTATTTCAGAAGTACTACATGATCTGGAAGATCCTCTGTAAATCATATCCACCGGATGTTTTTCAACAATGTGTTGTTTGTTGGTTTTTTAGAATTAATTCTAAGCAATCTACTGTTGCTGTAGTTTAAACCAGAGATATAAGATTATAAGTGTCTTGACAAACTCAAAATTAACAGGCTTGAATTAAAAGATTCAAAGCGTTACTATTCACAGGCAGAACTCAGTCCAGCCTGGGATTTAGCTCTACGTTTACCTGTGCTGTACAACAGTTTAAATACAGAACACAGTTTTTGGATAATTCAGAATTCATTAGATTAAGTAGGAATTTGTTTTTTGAAGTTATAGAAAATGCATGATGATTTCAGTTACGATTAAAATGCATTGCATCAGGTAAAATAAAAAATTGCAGAGATACTATTAAACTTATTGATAAGCAGATCAGAAGTCTGATGCATTTTACTTCCTTGGCTCTGCTGTCAGCCATCAGTAGTTCCACAGGTGAGTTCTTAAGAAAAACGCCATCAAATTTAACAGGCCCAATAAGAATAAATTAGAGAACAGAATGGGAGGAGACTAAATGCGGGACCTGACTATAATGAAGATCATAGTTGGATTATGCATTCTATACAGAACCACGCTATTTTGCTTGGAAACACTAATTTGATCTTCTAGCCTCTATTCTTATTTTTTTAAGATTAAATATAAAGTCAAGGAGATATTCTTCTCTTACTTTAGAAATTCATTGTAATTTGTCTCAAAAGACACATTTATTTGTTCAGCCTTACCTATATATGCAAAATTTGGAAGCACATTGGAACATTATTCAGTAGCTTAAAGAATGGCCAAAAGTAGATGAATTAAGCAGTCACCACTTCATGTTATGATAATTTTAGCCAACTAAATTTCTCCTAATCTTTTTTGGAAGTAAAAGCAAAAGAAAGTCCCTATACATGTAAACTGTATTTCCTGTTGTAAACACTGGGATAATGTGGTCTGGCTACACTTCGGCTGCGCTTCATTAGGACAGCAGTTTTAGTAGAAATACTGCCTACCATTAAAAAGTCTATTTTTTTGTGTCCATATTTTACCTCAATATTATGTGTAGTACACCTTTGCATGAGCACTTTCAGACAGCTAGTGCTGAGAAGCAGCACTATGTAGTCTATCAGTGCTTTTGTACATCATAAATTAAAGTTATTCTATTCCTTAAATATGAACTTTCTTTGTTTGATTGTGCTTATAGACTTACAGTACATTCATGTGCTTAACTACTAGCCAGTTGAAACGTGTGAAGTAGGAGGGGTAAAGGGAACTCCAACCATAAGCTAGTTACAATATAAGCTTAATCTAGGTGTATGTGCTGAAAGTATTTCTAGCATCCTTTTTTTTTTTTTTGTTCTCTGAAGTGTTTGTGGGGGAGGAGAGGTAAAAGTTTAGCTACAACCCCAACAAGGTTTCAGCATGATGGACAGCATTAAGAAAATCTTGTAAGTTTTCATGTGCTTTTCTTTTGGTTTCTCTGAGATCAATCAGATAGTTTTATTGACCTGTTTCAGTTAAAAAATTTGCATGTATACCTGACCGCTGATCAACTATTATGATGCTTTGGGATTTTGCTGTCACTCTTTCAGCTAACACTCAGCTGCATTGTGAATTTCATAGAAATCAGAAAATAATTATTCAGTTTTAGCGAATGATAATTAATATAATAGAGGATTAAAATGTGATTTATTGATTTTAAAAAACAGGTCTGGGGAAGGTTTAAAATTAAAGTGATTGCAATATCAATTTACAGCGTATATGTACTCTGTATATGGAACATGTATGTAAATATACACATGTGTAATTAATTATTATTTAATGAAGATATTTTAAGACCTGTTTACAGTTTTGAATATCAAGCTGATATTTGGCAAAATACTATTATACAGAGCTGCTAAAAAAATGCTACTTACAAATTAAACTGAATTTCTTCCACATTTTTAAATTCCACATATGAATAGTTTTTACAGAAAAATGATCTCAACTGATTCATGATTAAAATGTAGTTAGAAAAACTATTTTTAAAGAGCCCAATGCATTGTAATGCGTGTTTTACTGATTTTGGGGTTGACTCTAGATTAATGCTGAATACTTTGACGTTTATGCTAAATGACGTTTCTTAGTTTATGAAACATTTAAGACAATGGTAGGGCAGTTGTATAGGAGAAGTTTCTAAGTCCTGTATTTTACTTATTTTCTTCAGATACAGAGAACTAGCAGTGATAAATTAGTAATTCATTTGTCCATTGCAAAGATGCTGGAGCTATAAAATGCCACATTTCCCCCCCCCCCCCCCCCCCCTGCCTCTGAGACTGATGCTCTTCTGTGATATTGTTTATTGTGCTCATTTAATATTCATATTTTAATAAGATTTTTGATTTTTTCAGAGCACCATCTTACTTTGCTAAATGCATACAACTAGAAACAGTGACTTACAAAGGTGACAGCACACCTGCTGTCAAACGCTGGATTGTACAGTATAGTGACTTCACTTTGCCTACCTTGTCAGATTACTATTTAACAAATTAGTGCTTAAATCTACATGTGTTATTTATGGTAACCTCTTTTTCATGACTACTCCCAAATATACTATGCGTTCTAAATACCATAAATATTATTTAACAAGTTTTTGGTTTGATGGCAGTCAGTGAGCATTGATAGAATTAAATAAACATAATACTTACCCCAAAAGAAGTTTTGCTGACATGGTGTCACTGAGCTGAACAGACTGTTTGATGCCATAGTCCTCTGTTTTCACACGCAACTTGTATCTTCTGGTGTAAATACTGCTTGAAGCCTTAAACTGAAAATACAAACCATACCCAATCCCAGTTTTAGTATTACAGTGTGTCTAGAGTGCATAAACTCTGTATTTGTTTTTTTCTGTCAAAAAATTGTGTTGCACTGATAACGTGAAAAGCAAGGAAACAAAACAAAAAGAGAATGAGCAAATATTTGAAGGACCTACTATTACTGCATAGACTGTGGTTAGAGAGCACTTACTGACTTGGTTGGTCTCAGTGGCTGGTAGTGACCTGCGGAGATTAACCATTTAAAAACCAGAGACTTCTTGCTATCCTCCTGGAGAAAGTTTGCACCGCACTTGTGGTTCTGTGGTTGTTTGTGAGGCGAATGAAGCATTCACATAATCCAAAAAAGCAAAAGCTTTAAAACTCCTTTTTTTTTTTGGAAGCACTGTTACTGGAGAGACAGAATCATGTGGTTTGTGACATCACAGTCCTCAAAGTAAGTGGGACTGCCTACCAATGTGGCTTTTCTTTCTTTTTCTTTGTCTTTTTTTTTTTTAATTTTATTTTGACAAAAGGCCTGTGGCAAGGCCCTTCCTGGCATCCAGAAGGATATAGCTTTTTAATTTTTGTGACTCATGAGGATTTGGAGAGAGTACAAAATGCTGAAAGAGCCCAAACTCCTGTACAGTTAAAGCATATGGACAGCAGAACTTTGTACTCTCAGTACACTTTCATTCTTTCTTTTGTTCATTATTGTGTCTGTGGAAAAGTAAGCAAAATTGGCGCAAGTGGCTGTGTGAAATTCTGAACAACAGTGATGATTTACAATAATTTACATCTTTGGATTGTATCACAATCTTGGGTCTGCTTCATATTTGCTGGGTGGCTGGATTCCTTCTGTTTTTCTTTTTCTTCTTGTCTTCCTATACTTGTGAATCTGTAACTCATTGTAAGAAATTTTACCTTTCCTAAGGTCTGGTAGCAGCCTGCTTGTTGGGGCTGTGTTTTGTAGTGTAATTGGCTGTCAGAGAAGCGTTAGTCTGGGTATTCCTTTACAAATCTTAAATCATGTCTGTCTTGCTTATGTACCTTAAGATTAGCTGGCAGCTTTATATAATGAAAATTAAGGGCAATTATTTATCAGTCTTGGCTTTTTTGCAGAATCTATCATTTGTATATTGTAACTACTTTGAGTACTGTATTATAAATTATGCTTTTTAATAAAACATTTAATGATTGAAATAGACATTATTAAACTGTGAATTTTATTGGTTATGGAATTTTGATTGCTAACATCAATTACTTACAATTTAAGTGTTTTAGAGAAACAGTATCACCTGAGACTTTTTGAGGGATCCTGTTAATAGTTTTATTTTGCCATTAATGTTAGTGCTTACTTTGAAAATGAAACATAATTTTGATGAATATGTGAGGCTTAAACACAATATAATATGCATGTGTAATATTTGTATATGCTTAATGGACTACAGCTTTAATTTAGTGCAATATAATCTTTTAGTATATCAGGACACAATGTGTTAACAAAAGCAGTATTTTTTGTTTATAATAGAGACTTTGAAATAAATTGCAAAATGCTGTGTGTAGTAGAGAATAATGTGTTCAGTAGTCTTGATTTGCTCAGTCAGATTCAGAATAAAATTGGAAACATCTTTAAGAAACTATCTTATTTTTGTTCCCTTTGGACATGTGTTTGTGTAAAACTCATTTTATTGTTAGCATGATTGTATCATATGAGCGCTGTATTTTATAATTCCATTATTTTTTGTATGTGGGGAGTCAGAAGAAAGGCAGAAAAGAAATACAGACTTGAAATTTTCTGAACATTTTTCATCATTTATTTGTAAAACTCTTCATAAGCATGTCTCTGGCAGTTGGCTTTCCTCACTCCTTTCCCCCTTTATCTCCTCCATTGCTTCTGCAATAAGCAGTTGACTAGAAGTGGTGTGAAACTAATTGGATGACAGATGGGCGGAGAGCAGGGTCTTTCTATTTTGGGTGGGTGGGTGGATGGAGTGTGGAGAGAGGAGATGGAAAACGAGTATTTCAGTAAAATTATTATTTGTACATTTTGCTTTTCTTTGGCAGATTCTTATCAGAAAAATATAAACCCAATCCTGTTTCTGAACATCTCAACGCAATATGTATTGGAATGTACACTATATTGTCTTCAGTTCAACACTTTACCTGTTCTATAGAGGTTGCCAAATGTCTAGGACTGTTTCTTTAAATGAAAACTTACTAGGTAGTGTATGAACTGATATATGTAGTTTGTAAAAAGTGCAATCGATATCAACTCAGCAAAACAAAAACCCACCTGTCCCTCTAAAAATGGGCTTCTTGTATCCCTGAATATAGATTTGTATTACACGATAGTGTCATCACCAAGAAAGCATTTTGAGGCATAAAAATGAATAAATAGAGTATTAATTATGTTGGATAAACAAAGTGTGCATGTGTGAGTTAGAAGTCATCGTTTAATATAATAAAAGCATTTGAAAGTGTTTGTATCTATGATTTGTGGAATTTCAAATTATAAGTACAAAATCTCAGCGAATACATTTACATGTTGAGAAAGTTTCAGATACTATATTATGCTAATGCTAAGTATATTCAGTTACCATATAATAGATTACTGTTGGAGGCAAATTCTTATATTTTCTCTCATTTAAGCCTGATCTTTATAATTTTAAAAGACAGAAGCCCCAACATTAATTATTATTCATTTCTTTAATAACTGAAAATCATACTCATCACATAGGACTGGATCTCTGAACTGGATACACTGAAGTAAAATTGACACAAGATGCTTTTTTTTATTACTTTGACTTGAGTACCTTAAGTTCATTCAACTAATGTTTCTTTTCTTAGTTTACTTAAATGGGATAACCTTTTGGACAGTAACAGGCTATTTTATTTATCTTTGATATCCAGGTTACGATTGCCACAATAAATTCTCCATTTAGCAGGGTGAAGATCATTGAACCATAAGAACACATTGTACCATGTGGGATTGAAATGTAGTTTTAGACATTTTCTATATTCATTTAGAACATAAATTTGTTTTCTCAGTGTTACAAATATTTTCTTGTTATTGTTTAAGTAAACTTTTTAATTATGAGAGAGTTTCTTAAACAAAAACATGTATAGACGTAATACCTACCAACTTGTTTCTTCAAAAATAACTGTTAATGTGATGAAGATATATTATTTCTGACAACTGTGTTCATTCACTGTGTAAACAAATTTAATTGCAGGCTTATACTTAAGACTTTTGTTCAGAAAGCAAAATTAACTTAAAATTACTTTAGGCTACTAATATAATTATAGCTATAAGTATTAGGCTAAAGAATTTGCTTTGTAAATTATGGACTTGTTCATGTGGACCATTATGGACTTGTTCAGTTATGGAGACAGTAAGTCTCATTTTGAAATTAAAATCAGTTTCAACACAAATCTAATACCATTATATTCTTGATCTTTTATTAAATTTGTTTTCAAAACCTGTAAGCCTTGCTTTATCTTATTTCCAAACATTTTGTTTTTTGTACTTTATCTAGCATAAAACCTATAGGATACATCGTAGAGAGTATATTTCTATTTAAAAAAATTTTTTTTTGGTATGGTCAACTTCCTACCAGCTAATTTTTTAAAGGAATAACTTATCCCCTGTGTTTTATGTTTCCCAGAAGAATAAGATTTTTATAATATGCCATATCCTTATGTTGCTACTTTTGATGCATCAAACTCACAGATACTGCTGCGTTTGGTCTGTCTCAAACAGTGTTGCATTTTCCTGTTTCTGTCGGCAAGAAGTCACTCTGCATTTCACAAATCCTTAGAAAAGTCATTCTCATTTTGGGTATAGTTTTGTTAGCAGTGCAGCAGTTTCTTACCTAATTTATTTACATTTTATTTCTGTGCAGGTGTGTAATTTTGGTATTTACACATTTTGTGAAAACTCCATTATATCGACTAATGTTTACTTGGATTTTAAATTTCCAAATTGTTACAGTTGTATGAATTATATTCAGTATCACAAATGTTAACTTATTACCACAAACCTTGTGTACTATTTAGCAGAAAGAGAGTATTTAATAGAAATACTTCTTTATGACAGCTTATATTGCTATTCATAGACATTCTTGCTGAAAGGCCACCAGGGTACTGAATGGATAAATGCCTAATTTTCCATGTGTGTTTATGATTGCCTTTGTTTTATATACATTGTCACCCCACCCTCTTTTTTCTCTTGAATCATAATTTAACTAGAAATGGAATGAAGCTGATAGTTTGGTTCTGTATGAAAAATTCTCTCTCTTCTTCCAGTATAAGCAAATATGGGTTGTCTTTTCTTAGTTTACTCTTTGGACTCTTACTGCTAAAGAAGTGTTTAACCCTAAAACAGAAATCTTCTCTACACATGGAGATGAGAGTAATTTTCTGTTAATTGGGAATTAATTTACTTCTAACTAACATAATTGTCTCTTATTGCCTGGGGTTACGAACCTTCCTTTGCCATATTCAGTAAAAAAAAAAGTAGTCACATAATGCCCATTTGAACAACAGTAATGGAAAACTTTGCCTGCTGTTCAGTCATTGAGCAAGGTTCTGCATCTTAGAAGCCAAATATATCTTATTGACTGCTGCTTTTGTACATTATTGCTCAATTATTTTTCTTCTTATCATTGGTATTCTGTTGTACAAGTCCTTCTAGTTAAATATAGTCCAGTAAGCAGTCAATAGTTGCTGTTTAAAATCATTATAAACTTTTTGTCTTTTCTCTGTCTGTTTTCTTTTAAAAAAAAAAAAAGTCAACTTGCAGAAAATATGGGAAACTTGTCTCATATAACAGCTGAGGATGTGGCTAGGTTAAGGCAGGAAACTGCTACCCACAATGCAATGTTACATACACTACCACTTAATAAAATTTATTTCAAACATGCTACTGACAAAACCAAAGAAAAATAATATCCTAACTATGCTAGTTAGTACACTAAATAGATCTAGGGAAAAGTGAAAGTAATCTGTATAAAGTCTTTTTTGCTTAGGGGATACAGTACTACCACTAATTAAACTATAGGAGATCTCAGTAGTTAAAGCAACCCGTCTCTGGAAATTAATGCTTGTATGCTGCTAATTGATGTTGAAGTTGCTATTTTTATACTCATAATTTTGGTTGGTTCTTTTTGTTAGCTTTTGGAAATATCCAATATTCTCATATGGTATGAAACTGGCAACTTTTTCTATTTATTTTTTTTCTGGTTGGTTTTATTTGTACCTTGAGTTTACCTACCTGTGCCATATCTAAGGAAGCCTCTACCTCCTTCCCTTCCCAGAAGGAGAGACGAGGCTAAATATTTAACCTGTTTGTGGTTTGGCAGGAAAATATTGTTCATGCAGTTCTTAAGAACTAAGAACAGAAAGAACATTTATTTATTTATTTACTTTTCCTGCAGGAAGACAGACAAACTTAATGATGTTTTATTTGACTGCTGACATTTTGGATAAAGTGATCTAATAGTTATTTACTATGCTTTGGTTAATTTATGAGGTAGATAAAACATTGTATACTTATTGTGTACATTTAATATGTTTAATAAGTACTTATTAAAGCAGTATATTTTACATGGATAGTG